GGGGGGACTCTCTGGTGGACTCAGAAATTTCACATGATGACATTGTACTGTAAACTTGCTGCTGAATGTGGTTGTGGCTTGAACCTTGGATAATATAGCACAATGAGAATTGAGAGACATTGCTGACGTGAATGCTGAAGCGTTCTTTTTTTTTTTTTTCCTCTGTAGTTGAAGGAGACACTGTTGTTTGACCTTGAGTCTCTCCACTTAATATTGTAATGGCTAATTGAATGCCAGGTGAGGAGTTCTATCTGGTTATAAACATGGAAGGAATAGTAGCTGGTAGGTCTGTTGTTAACTTTCCTCTGTACACAGAGAAAACACCCGCTAAGCTCCTCTGAAAAGGCAAGTGCCCAAAAATCTGAACCTAATACAGCAAAACTTTGACTCAATAGAAACCAGTTTTAGTACCACAGGTTGTAAGCAAAAATTGTAAATATGGGTAAGGCTGGAAGTTGCCCAGTTTAGGTGTTGGTGTAATGCGTGGGCTTCAGAGCACTGGGCTGTGAGCACAGGCTCTGCAGGGGCTCTCCTGGGTGGGGGGTTGGGCATCAGCTTCCTGCTGTGCCCTGGCAGCACGGAGGTCTGTTGTGTTATGTGTAGAGAACGAAGATGCCCCCAAATGTGGTGGTGCCGGTAATGATTTAAGCTTTGTTTCAAACTGTGAGGGATTGTCTGTGTTTTTTAGTACTCTGAATACATTCCTTTTGCATGTTGCAGTAAGTTGTTTTGGTTTTTTTTTTTTGTCTTCTTTCCTTCCCCTTACCATGTGTCTTCGTTATTTCTGTTTCTAAACTAAAGCTAACATGATCCTGTGCTCCTCTTCTAACTTGTAGCTGATCAATTAGAAGCCATTCCCTGTATCTTCTCCAGAATTTGTCCATCTCAATGGAAGGGAAGTGCTCTGAGCTTGGATACAGGGCCTCATCGTGACAGTTGTGTGATGGTATAAGTTTCCCTTGTCATCTTTGTAATATTTTTTGGCTAAATCTTCAGACCCCATTACCCCCTTCTGCTGCACTTAAGTTTTTCCATCTTCATATTAGTTATTAAATAGAAACAAGATCTCCTCCATTGTCCCAAATGCTGGTTTTTAGCTTTACAGTCAGAGAACCTCTCTGCGGTAGCTTTCACTAAACCCACAGGCCGTGTCACTGACTGTTCCTGCAATGTTTTTTCATTCTTTATGAATGCAACTTTTGATAGTGTACACTATATTTTGATTTTGGTATTGGCAAACCATCTCATTCTGTGATGATCTCTCTGCTAGTGTGATCCAGTTGTTTGGCTTTTTTGCAATCTTATTACCATAATTGCTTGAAGCAGCATCCCTGTCAGCATGTTCTTAATATGGCTGTGCCAGTATGTCTTTCTCTTTCTCCTTGTCATTGTCTTTGCGAAACACCCAAAAGCAGTGTCTTCATTTCTACTATTTTCTTCTCAAAACTAACTGAATATTCTTTTAACTAGTCTGTGTACATGAATTCTTAAGCCTTCCCTGTACATCAGCCTCCATAGTACCATTACTTGTTTTTTGCTACGAATGACTTCACGTTTAGTTTCTTTGTCTTAACGCATTACCTAAAAACTGAATGTGCTTCAGATACAGCTATCTGGGATGCTTTTCTTCACTATGATATAATCTTTACGTATGCAGCTCAGTAACACCATTTTTGTTGATATGTGCTAAATACTTCTGAAGAAGCTGTTACACCAAGATCGTGTTGACGCTACCTTTGATGCTCCCATTGAGTGCGTTCCTGCATATGTGCACTTGAGGAAAGTCTTATTCTTCCTGCACTTATTCTTGTTGGTAATGTTTCTGGGTCCTTTTGTGTTCCTGTTTTCAACTACTACTAATATAATGTCATAATATTCATTCGTGTGCTGCATACCTTTAGTTTGGCATCACTGTTGCTAAGTCGGGGTCTTAGCTTTAAACATTTCTTTCTTAATCCTCCAAGTTTGAAAATAGTTGTAAATGTGGAAATAGTATTTTAGTACTGGCAATACAAGTGGAAAAATTGTGTCTGGAAGCTGTTTTGTAAAAATGACACCTCCTTTCCATTGTCTGCTAGTTGGGGAGGGTTTTTCAGATGCTGTGTGCATATTAGTGATGGACAATTGCCTGGATCTCTCTGTATCTGTGTGTTTCCAAATTTCTACCTCTGCTCTGTTGCATTGCATACAGATACTGGTGACAGTAATCTGATTTACTCTTAGTTCAAAATATTTCTTTTGTGTATTTCTTAGCAAAAACATGAATTAAAAGTTTCTGAAATGCTGGAAATAGGAATTTACCAGATGAAATTTAAGTATATCCCTGGGTTGCAGAACAATGCTCTGTAAAACAGATGCCTTAAAATGATTTTCCATTTGAGTCTGAAGACTTTCCTTGCTTTTTTTGAGAAACTAACTGTAGCTTGTAGGGGACGCTTTATAACAGATGCAAGCAAGTTTCCTTTTGCTTCCTTTCATTCTTCCGTTATTGCTTGAAAATAAAAATGAATTTCAGTTTTACTTGAAAATTGTAGTTCTGACATACTGCTTCCATTGTTCTTGGAAGTATCAGACTTGGGTGGTAGGAGAGGGCATCCAGAAAGCAGGTAGCAGATTAGTTACAAGCAAAGACGCAGAACCGTTTTCCTTGGAAAGTGCTTTCAGCAAAGATGTGAATAGTTATAAGGAATTAAATAAATAGTTGATAGAACATAATCCAGTGTTCTGACTAAAATACACACTCTCGGTGTAATTCGGTCTTGTATCTGTAGTAGCACTCTATACAGTGATATTAGCATTTGCGCAAGGGACTCAAGGAAGCAAATGTTGTTTTCTCACAATAACTGATTTATAAAAGCACTGGTGTCATGACAACCAATTTTTAAGAGCACAGTAAGGCCGAACTTTCCCTTAAAGCTGTTGATCTTAAAGGCAGATGTGGCATTAAAATTTTATGTTCAGCATTTCATAGCTAACGTGTTTGAATGCATGCCCATTTCTTAACTATTTTTGTTGGTTTAAGTTTAGGAAATGGTTTGATAAATATAGCAAATGCATGGGGGCATTTATCTGTTTTGTTCTTCCAGTAACAAAACCTTGTAGGAGAGCAAATTTTCTTGCATCATTAAAAGCTGCAACTGTTGATCAAGATCACAAGTTTAAATGCAAGTTCTTGGACTGTTCAAAATCCTTCCGCAAAGCCAAGTTATTGCATTATCACATGAAATACTTTCATGGAGTGGAGAAAGCTGCAGAATCACAGCAGAACCCCGTAAAAAGAAATATTCAAACCAGAGCTTCTTTGGCCTCTGAAAAAGCTAATCAAGAAAGGTCAAAAAGAGGACGGACCACAGCTGGTTCATTGTGTAAGTATGTTGCTGATCTCTTCCTTTTTTTAAACAGCAGCAGGCAGGATGAGCAGGAAAGAGCAGAAATCGATATTTCTTTTGGGCCGAAGGAATCTCTTTAGGGCTCCATCTTAGTGTATTTCTTTGTGGAGAAGCAGCATAATATATGTAAACATTATATTTTAGAGAAGATAAAACTGAAGAAACTCCCTCATCTACAAATATAGATCATGTTCTGTAATGAGCTGACTATGCAGCTTCTCTTACTCCTTTGTAACAACTCACTTGAGTATTAAAATTCTGTTCTTCTTTCAAAACTACAATTCTCTGAGGTTCTGACTCTCCCCCCCCCCCCCGACAAATATCTAAATAGTGTTGTTCAAAGACTTTTGTCCATTTCTGTATCAAGGAAACAGTTTGGGAAACTCCAGTTCTCTCCTGTTTCTTATTTGGTCTTTATATTTCATGGTCTCACTTCAAGAATATACTTGGGTAGAAATTCGGTACCAGTTGCTGCAGTATTTACCGTTCTTGTTGCTGGACCTGTAGGGAAGAAAGACGTAGTATTTAACAAATGCAATCTCTACAGCTGTACTTGAAAAATATCTTCATGCAACTGATGGGTAGTGGAAAGGGGTAAAAAAGCGTTAGGAAAAAAAAGTATGCTTAAGTTGTAACTGCTTTGCAGTCTTGAGAATCACAGTAACTTCTGCTTCGCTGTCTCATTCTCTGAAGCACTTTCTTCTTAGTGGCTTGCATAGCATCAGAGTGGCAATCTAGGTTGAGTTGGGAACTGCAGTGGTGGTGTTAGTAATGTATCCAAACTTTGTTCTTGTGGACCGACTTCTCTTTGTACTGCAGGTCCATAAAAATTGTCATCTCTTCTGTCTTCTGATAGAGCCTGCTTTTTAAAATCCAGCTTCTTTGCTGAATTCCTTGGTGTTTTTTTTGTCTAAGTCTTCTTCTAATTTGTTCACTGAGCTCTACAGCTCACTACAGTAGAATATATGTAGCCTTTCTTTGCTCAGTGTCTGCTTTTCCTAATGTGTCTGGCAAATGTTTGGTTTTTTTTTTTTTCATTTGAGGTGCTACTGCCTGTTCCTAACAAGATAAGTGTAATTTAACATACTGCTACTACATGTAAACTTCTGTAAGTTTAAATAATGCAAAGGCGTAAGATTTAATTAGATGGAGGAAGATTTTTCCTTAAATGTGTTAGGATATGCCAGCTGGCGTGTATTATACTTTGCATGCAGCTTAACTGAAACGGAAGTATTGCCTGTACAAACATACCTGAGACGAGCGCTTTGTGAAGAATGGCTGCTAACAACTGCACAGGGATCAACACAGGCTTCTTGCATGCTGCGTGTTTTCCCATGAACAGACTTCTGTTCTGCTTCTTGTAATTGCATAATTATTTCGGTTTGAGAAGTTGTTTTCCTGTGATTGTCTTGAATGAACTGACTAGTGACTCAGGATCTTGACCCTTTCATTTATCCTTTCCCCCCAAGTGCACACTGTTGGTTTGACGTCAGCATCTTGACTGCACTGGCAGGTAATTCTTTATGGTGTTGAGTTGTAACTGTATTTGTTTACTTTAAGCCCCACCCCTTTCACCCCCTTGTGGATGGATACTTTTAACCTGGATTGCTTAGATGATGTGCTTCACAGCATATCCCTGCAAGTAGCCCCTGGGTTGTGCTGACGGCTGTTGAACAGTGCCTCAAGGTGGAAGGCGGACCGTAAAGTTTTCAAATCACCTTCACTGTCAAAGCCTGCTATTGTGGAGCTACAGTAAGGTTTTTCTTGATGAGGAAAAGTAGTGTCATCATATATCAGTTATATCATATGTCTGATACTAAGTGCCATTTGTTTTTTCACTCAATGTGTTCTTAATTCTTTTAATTTTTCTTGTGGGAGTACCACACATTCTAAAGCAGCGTTAACAGGGTTTATGAGCTCATACTGTTGCATTTTGTGTTCTGTTCTTCTGTCTTTTTGCAAGCATCTCTTCTGCTCTTAATGTCATGTATAGGAAGACAGCCTGCTAAGCAAGACTTTCTCCATGTCTACTGAACACTTTAATGTCACCTTTTTAAAAGGCTTTTCAGGATGTACTGCTTAGTGAGAGTGAAGGCTTTTGAATACATAATTAAGTACATGGTGGATTTACTTTACATCTTCACAATCCTTTTGTGAGTAAAAATATTCCTGTTCAAAGTGCATATATTTAAATCATTTTACCTTTTGGTACAAATGTCCATTTCTTTTCATATCTTTTGCTATATTAGATAGGTTTTAGTGCTTAAGAAAAAGGTGGCGATTTCTAATAGATAAGACTTTAGAAAGCTTGAGTCTTGTTCCGTAAGCTTGGAGATACTCTTACTTTAGAAGCTTTATCCAACCTAAGTCCTTATCTCACAAGTTTTGTTTTGGAGTTCTGGGGTTCCTTACTGTTTCTGCTACGCATTAAAATAAATAAATGGTGGGCGTGGAATATTGGCTAGATTTTAAGTGTTCCTATAGCTCTAGAAAATTACGCAATATTCAGAACAGTAGCAAAACCTTTTCCTTGAAGTACCTAAGCTTAAAATTTCAACACATAGAAGATGGATGTAAGTGGTATTCAGTGACCGGGTTGTGGGATGCAGGAAAGAAACAATTTGAGTATAATTCCTTTGCACTGAAGACTCTGAAATTTCGACACCTGAAATGTAAATTGTACCACTTGGCATTGGCCTCAAAATTTGAGTGAGCTGGAAAGGTTAGTGTGGAACTGATTTGTCCTGTCTCTCCCTTTTCCCCAAGAAGGATCTTACCTTTGCAATGGCAAATTTGGCAGATCTCCCTAAATTCTGTAGTGGTACTTTGTTGAACAGAGGGGAAGGAACTACCATTCTCTAGCTTGTATTTTAGGTGTGCCTTACTACTCCGAACAGAGTGATGCAGGCTACTGGATGCATTCAGGCAATACTACTTCCATTTGTCAGGAAATATTAGATCGTTATGATGAAACAACTCTTCCACCGGCCCTATGTTATAATACTTACCTCTGTGAGTATTGCTGCTATTTGGTCTTTACTGAAGGAATTGTCCTCGTAAAGAATAAGGCAGTTGATTTTGTGTTCCCCTGGAATATAGGAGATGCAGGCATTTCTGCCCTCAGCTCTTAATTGTGTTGCATCGCTGCAAGTGCATTATGGAGCCACCTGCAGCCCTTCTGTTGAAGAGGAGAATCAAGACTTGCACAAATGTATGTGGATGTGTAAATGTAAAACAAGCTTTTTGTGCGCAGTCTGCAGATGGCTTCTCAAAGTCTTGTCTTGCAGGAGGGAGTTGCTTAAGATTTTGACGGTTCAAATGGAGATGTTCTGTCAATTTATCACTTGGAAATTGAATGTCATGTAGTATCTGTTAAAATTCTTGGCATTTACTTGTTGATTGCTGTAACAAAAAAAGGAATAGAACCACATTCCATGTTCATATACGTTAAACTTTTTGTGGTCCCTTCTCTTCCTCTGCACAACCACTTAGTTTACTGTTGTAGTATGTCATCCCGTACTGTGACTTGTGCCCTACACTTACTGTAAACAGCTTCCTCTGAAGGTGCCAGTTTTCTTTCTGATATATCTATCTGCCCATATTTTATGTGAAGTGCCTGCAAAAGGTTATTTTTAATAAATTTTGTTGTTTCCTGACCTAGATCGCTCCAAGGGCACGAGACATGGAATAGCTTCATTTCATTATCTGTACCTACAACTTATAACTTGAACATCTGAAGTGTGTCTCTTTCTTGACTTTGAGTCTTTCTGAATTGGTGGCTTTCATTTTTTTAGTAACATCTTTTCATTTGGAGGTTCAACAAAATTTAATTCATGCCTTTGTTGAACGATTTTTCTGAAATCTGAAAGTCAACTTGTGCCAGGCTTCAGTGCTTGCACAGCTGATGTGCCTCACCTCAGACCTTGAAGAGGCTCTATGCTTGATAGGTACTGAGAATTTGTCAGGACATTCTAACTTTATTAGATGTGAAAAAGTAGGGGAGTTGATAGGTGTGTGCAAGGAAATGCCATCAAAACCTTCACTAAGGTGGCTTGTGTACTCTTAATAACCACTTAGTAGTGCTGACAGACTCAAAACTGCCCAGAGCACGACTATTGTGCTGCCAGGGACTGTGTCAGTTGATATTCTTACATTCCTAGGACATAGCTCAGTTCCCTTGAGGAGTTTTGCTCTAATGGAAGTTTAACCTGGGTTTGAGATTTTAAAAATACCGTGCAGTATTAAGCCACAGTTTAGGTATGTGGGTGTATAATGGCAGCCTCAGTCCGGCAAGCTGCTGCCAGTCTTGGCTCCGCTGTTCTCCTTGCCATAAGGAAGAAAAGAAAGCAACAGACCTGCAATTAGTAGTTCAGAGACTGTAGAAAATCTGTCCCTACTGAGGAGTCTATAAAAGGTACTTAAAGAAAAAAACATACATTTTGTCAGTAGGTTTAAATTTTTGTGTGTGACCTTATTGTTAGAAAATTCTGCCTACTCAAAGTTAGGCATTAACACAACATACTGTAACATCCTGTCTTAATGCCAGGAATACATGTAAAGAAAAAAGGGGTCTCATCTTTGTGTTACTGATGGGATCCTAACGTGCGTGTATAGCTTAAAACATCTGAGTCATCCAGTTGTCAACTGATGGGTGTTAATACGTGAACCTCTGGCACATGGCTGAGTGATTTTCAGGGTGATCTTTTCGGGGGGTTTCCTGTTTCCTCTGAGTATTGGCTGGTGGATGCCTTTTTGCTAGGCGGTGGAATGTGCACAAGTGACCTGCAAACACAGGGTTTCTTGTTGGATGGAGTAGGTGAAGATTTGTATTAACACCGTTTGCGTTCTGCACAATTCCTGATCATCTTTGGCTTATCTTGAGAATCCTGCATTTAGTTTGTGGAGGATGACTGCGTGAAGTACTTTAGCTGTAAGTCAAGATGATAGCTGGTCTTTCAGTTCTTGAAAATATCGGT